AAAATCGATAAAAGTAATGCACGGTTTCGAAAACTAATATTGTATTCGTAATCAGCATGCTCGATTACACCCCTCTGCCAACTCCCAGCCCCTAGCTCAAATTTTGCAAAAAATCGATAAAATCGGCATCAATCGATAACGAAAAGTGGACTGTGACACCCGCCGGGGCCCGAAGGGTATGTGTACCAAGTTTGGTCGGATCGGTTAAGAAATGGATTTTTCTATTCGGAACATACGGCGGAGCCGGGTAAGCCAGCTAGTGCTCAATAAGAAATCTACTTGACTATCATATATGCCGGTTGGAAGAGTTGGAATAGGCGTTACTGAAAAAAGCCCAGCTACAGTACCACCCATAGCTCAACGACAACATCCAAACATGAATTCGTCACATGGAGGTTCGGGTGAGATTCGAACTCGCGTTACTGGATTCAAAGTTACTCTGCAGACGAAGGACCCAACTTTCCTCCGAGTGAACTAGTTAAACTACTTCGAGCCATAATCAAAGACTTTAATCCAGGAGATTTCAGGACGCTCAAAAATGTACGACACTAGTGCACAAGCCAATATGAACGCACCTGTAGCTGAAGAACCTAAATTTCACCGGCCAAACTTAGATGCGGCAAGTAAACTCCTGTCTACCAGACTTGAAAGAGTCACCGGGGGGGGGGGGGGGACGATGACAAAACATTTGAGGAACTCTGAATGATTATAAAGAGATAGTCGACAGTCTCCATATTTCCCATGCTTATGCTCAAAGCCTCAACCCACCGATGGAGCCAAAATAAATAGCCAAATACGACATAATACTACGAACAGCCAACCGAATGTCTGTGCCTCCTATCCTTAATAGCAATCTGCTTGATTACTCCGATCCTGCCCTACCATGTTTGCGGAAGCAGTACCTTCTCAAATGCATTTTCCCTTTCCAAACTGATATGATGCTGCGTTAACCTATTACTAATCCTGGCCTATAAATGCTACCCCGAGTGATTCAAGTCCCCATACATAATATCTATCTCATATCCTTGCTATAGTGAATTCAACACTTAACTATACCTCTCATTACTTTTGAACGCAAAAATAACTCGATTTTTGGAAAGGAAAAGACACCTCATAATCTCATTTTTTCTCTTCTCATTTGCCATAATTACAGCCATTTGGATGTCAGCTAATCACTACTAATCCGCACTTACACATTTTCGTCATTTGCCGTAAAATTAACTAATACTTTTACAAACCCATTCCTACTTCCCCCCCCCCCCCCCCCAAATCTTTATCGTTATACAACAACAAATCAAAAAAAACATACAAAAAGAAAATTTGCGACAAACCAGATCAAAACAAAAAATAATAGAGGCATATCACTTGTAGGAAAAGTTCTCTCCATGTAAATCGCCTCATAATCGCATCTCAACGTCGCGCTGAACTAAAATAGTCAAGTCAAAAAAAGAATCCTTATCTTTCCAAAAAAAGAGGATTTCAAAAAAAAATCCGCATTTTTCCAGAAAAAGAGTATCTCAGACAAAGAAAATTCGCAGCTTTCAAAAAAAAAAAGGGTTATATCAAGTCAAACAAAATCCGTATCTCTCTCCTCAAAAAAAGGAGTAGTATTAGCCCAACTTAGCTCAAAAAAGTCAACTAACGTTACTTGTAGTACTACAGAAAAGAAAGAAAGAAAAAAACTCAATTAAAAAAAACGTCAATTGATAAAGTGTAAAATTTAAAAGAGAAAAAAAACAACTACACCTCTTTCGCAGCCTTCCATTTTTGTGAGCTACGAGTGCAGTCCTGGTGCAGTCCACCGCGAATATCCTGTAAAACTTATACATTATTTGTGGAAAACAGCTGTAGTAAAGTCCTAGCTCTCATTTCTATCAATACAGTCAAGATATCCCCTAAGAAATTACTCCCTAAAACCGCTACGAAAGCGCGCTCCTTTCAAACAAATCGTGAGGATCGTAACGTGATGCTCGCAAAACTGGGAAAAGAACGCAAAACCCCGCGTATAACGCAATCTGACTTAAATCGTCCTTCTACTGGCAATTCGACCCCCGGAAGAGTTTGAATATCAGTCCGCGGACGAAGGAATCCCCAACTTCTCTCGTGAAATAATTAACGAACTTCGAGCCATAATCAAAGACTTTCAAAACCGGAAAAAGGCAGCAAAAGAGCTAGAGCGATCTTCCTCGATCTCAAGAGCCCAAACATGCCCAGCGCTAGCGTACAAGCCAACATGAACGCGCCTGTAGCCGAAGACCCTAACTTCCCGCAGCAAAACTTATACCCCGCGAGCAAACTCCTGTCGAAAGATTCAATGGGACGGTGATAAAACTTTTGAAGAATTTCTGGATGACTACAAAGAATTAGTCGACAGTCTACACATTCCCCATGCTTATGCCCAAAGTCTCCTCCCATTATTTCTAGCCGGTGGAGCCAAAATAAAATACCAATCCCTAAAACCCGACTAAAAGGGAAACTGGACAGAAATCATTACCAACTTAGCAAAGAAATTCAAAAACCAAGCCGTGTTAAGTAATGTCCGAGATGAACTACATAATCTTAGACAAGGAGAAGATAGTGTAGGCGAATTCGCAAAGAAAATACTAGTCAAGACGAAGGTAGCCTACCAAGGCGAAGACAAGAAGATACCTAACAAACTTTCCATAGACTTTTTTATCAGAGGTTTGAGGCCAGACATCAGGCGAGCCGTTAGACGTCTTCCTAGCCCCGAAGATTTCGATACTGCCCTCGCTAATGCCGAAAAGCTACAAAGAATACTCGAACAAGAATATCGCGAAGATAGAGAACTTTTGGAAAGCATAAATTTTTTAGAAATAGGCGAGAAAGTGGAGGAATTGACCCAACAGGTCAGTACTCTCCAAAACACTCGAAATACTCCGCCACCAAGACAAGATCGCTCCCGCGCAGTAGTACGGTTCCAACCAAACAACAGGCCAAATAATAATCCCAACTGGAGACAACAAAGAAGATCCGGCACTCCTTCCCGCCACACAAATACCAGTTCCGGAAATTCCCGCGGATTTCGACCTTTTGTAAGACGAGCCTTTCCAACTAACAACCGTTTTTGGCCTCGTCGCCCTCCTAACAATCAATACCGCCCTTATAACCAATTCTACAACCTATATAATCCTTACATGGCGCAAGCACCTCCAGCGCCATACGCCACAAATCAGCCTGCACTACCGCCGGTGCCAAATACAACCCAATACTACCCACAGCCAGGCCGAATGCCTTCGGCAGCTCAAAACGTGGACTTTCTATGCCTCTTAGCCATAATAGCAACCTGCTTGATAACTCCGATCCTGCCCTATCAAGTTTGCGAAGTAGTACCTTCCCAAATGCCTTTCTCTGCCCAAATTGATACAATGCAGTGTTTCCCCGGACGAACCGCTAATCGAGTCTACGGTGCAATTTTTTGGCGAATATACTGACCCATTACGAATCCCGGCCTATAAATGTTACCGGGATGTTATTCAAGTCTCCATACATAACATCCCCTAGTGCGTAAGAACGCGACGAACTGTAGTCAGCCGTCAACGTCTCTCAATCCCAGTAGAAGAATGTGAACTTGGGAAAAGTAGCGGTACTATTAGAGAACACACCCTTACTAAAATTTCCCCAGGACCTAAAGTAACGGAAGAAACTGAGGACGAAAAGACCACACTTCCGCTCTGGGGTACTAACCTATACTTGCGAAGCCTCTATTCCATCGAAGAAGGACAAATAACTTCCCTAAATGGAGAAACCATGCTCAGTACCTTTGGAGACTTAAACAACTGCTCACTAGCGCAAGGAAACTGTAACACACCCACAAGAGTAGTAATATGGGAACACACGGAAGTAATCCCTTGGTGTAATAATGCTATTGGTGAATTCAACGTCCTAGTTAGCATAAAATACATTCTTGTACCCGACCATGAGTTAGTCTTTAAACTCAGCAATGATTACCTCCTCCGCTTACGCCTGCTACAGCACTGTAATATATCAAATAGCTACCTTGCTACCTTGAATCACATAGTTTCCTTTCCGGACATTCATTATAAAAACTTCCCCTAAACAAAGGAAATGACGCGGCGTCAAGCACCTAATTGACAACGAAGACCGTCGCTCCCGTTTTGAAATAGCGCGCGCACCCTGCTCATGACGCGGAAATTGTGCACTGCCGAATTCCAAAGGTTACCCCAATTTGAAAACCTATTGAACATGACAGACACGTGCGAATAGAAACAATATATTTGCAGTGGTTCAAAAGGCACGCAATGATAAAAGAAACAGACGAAGAAAAAAGAATGTAAAGGTCACTCTTGTCAAGGCAGAATATAGAAATCACTAGCTCATGGCAGAGCCCTAGGCGTGGCTTACCTTTATCAGGTCATCCCGTCCCCTGTCTCGGGGCGTGTGTCCTACGGGCACGCTATCGCATGCCTTAGCCATGAGAGCTGTTTATCGATCCGATAAACAGCAGCAATAAAGAAATATGTGAATGCAAACACATAAGTATACAAAAACAAATTCCTAGTTCCAAAAGAGCACTTTGTATCCTTCATGACTAAATGCCACACAGCGGACAATCTGCAAATGAAATAAGCTTCTGAAAACTAATCCCGTTGATGCCGCATGAAGTTACCATACTTTACAAGTGAGAGGAGCAACCAGAGCGATTGAGAGTCGAAGCTGCGACATCTGCAATGTTCTGTAATTGCCCAACACCACACTTTGCGACAAATTCCTTCTTCGGTGCAAGTTTATGCGCGGAACTTTTTTGATTCTTAGTTCGCGTCATATGTGGTTAATAAAATTTTACAATCACAAGAGATTTTGCGAGATAGAACCTTAACATGGTTCTGAACTCCGCGCATGGCCTTACCTCACTCATGAAGTGTGGTCTTGTTGTTAAGGGCCGGACATACATCACGATTTCATCGCCTCGCTGTTCTCTCAACACGATAACTGTTACGAGCCCATTGCAGGCCGATCATCTTGCTTTTCGGTTGTGATAGTTTTCCGATATGACTTTTCGGGAAGAGCTGTTGCAGCTGAAATGCAAGGTGATCGGCACGCAGTGGACTCGCTACAGTCGTCTTGGTTGGAGAATTGCGGGGCGATGGAATCGCGTAATATATGCTCTGCACTTTAGCTGCATTTCATTTCGCTGATCTTTTCTATCTCTACTTCTTCTGTGCTCATACGATCACCTTGAGATTTCAGAGATGGTTTTTCGCAAATACAGACCTCAAAAACAATGGGGTAAAGTGGATACGAGGGTTTTTAAGGCTATACTCAAGGCTCGAAATGAAAGACGAATGCCAGTGTTTCGAGTGCCCGCTGCTGTCAAGGTGACTTCTCAAGTTAACTACTTCAATTCAAATGTTTTTTTGCCCATCTAATTTTCATATGTGTCGAGGTAGCAGTTGCACTATATCTCTTTCAGGCTTCAGGTATCACGATAGAAGACCCGAATAGTCCATCGTTCTTCACGCCTATCGTTGGACATAGATCTCTTCCTGATCTTAGAGAGACTCACCCAGCTTTTCGAGTGCCTTCTATCGAGGTAATCCAAACCGAGACTGGACGTTCGTGCATCCAAAAAATTTGTTTTCAAACATGCTACTATAGCTTTGCAATTTTTCAGGAGCACCCCTTTTATCACAAAACAAGCTGCTTTCTGTTCGATGGCAGTATACCGATGAGCGACGGTATTGATCAAGCAGGATTGCTTTGTAAGGCAGTAGTGAAACAAGGTTTACCGGAAGCTATGCTGCATCAAATTGGACAAATTGACATAGCAGAGGACTTGGTTTGTCAGAGTTTACCACTTAGATCTGCTATGAAGTTGCAAATCAGATCCGTGATGCGATCCTCCACGGCGAGAAATACGATCCAACTCTTGAGAAGCTACCAAAACGATTCGATCCGGTTTTGTTTTGGATCAGACACCCTAGAGTCTACGGAACACCTGTCATAAAGCGACTGTAAGTTTTCATTTTCGAAAGATGTTGAGTTCTGCATTGCTACCGGAAGCCTTCTAGAAATATTATTCTTGACAATTTAACAAGGATCGGTTTATTCAATGGTCTGCATAGCGGAAAGCTCAGCGATCACTTGAGGTAAGTTAAATCGTATTTGTCTCGTTTACCTCATCTTTCATCTTCGGTGATAATCGAGATTCCGCTGTCATCTGCTTACTTCTTCCATTGACCAGTTTTCAATGCCCTTAGATAATCGCTGTCAGAACTGCATCGACACACTTCCTGTTCCTTCTTCAACATTCTTGCAGTTGTTGCATCAGACTTTTCAATTTGATTGTTTTCATACATTACCGGAATTCTCCAGTTTACGCAATTTAACCTTTCCTGCTTCCTACTTCTTGATGCTCCACTGACAATTACATCTCAATAATTTTTTGTGAGAACTCATTTTATATAACTAGAGCTGTTTACTATTTGGCATCTAGGATTGACCGTGATGAACCGATCTCTTCGTTCCTGCCAACAACAGGTCTTTTTTCGGAGAAACCGTTTGTACTTCGATCTCAACCACATATTACCTTGCAATCAACCAAGCCTGGCGCAGTTTGGGCAGACGAAGCGATGGTGAAGGAGTTCAGGTTATTTCTCCCTTCCTCTTTTTCGCATTACGTGCATCCCTAACATTCCTTTCACTTTGTTTTTTTTTCTCGTCAGTGCAGTACCAAGCCAACTTGATCGATGATTATGTTAATTCATCGTTTAGTAAACAACAGCTTCCATCTGTGGAACCACTCTCCCCTGTTATCGACCTCTCTACAGACCATATCTATAACGATACTGCTGTGGTGGCTCGCCCCAAAGCATCTTTATCAATACACACATTGCTTTGGTCACGAGAGCAAGATCAGAAGTACCCATGGACAAAGTAAGTTCTTTCTCCCTTTTTTTGCGATGCCGATATACAGAATTACTCTAGGGAGCAGAATGCAGCAAATGCAATTCTTCATACTTTTGGTGCAGCACTGGCAGAAGCGACCAGGAGAGGAGAGCATAGGGATTTGAAAAAGCACCCAGTAGTCGTCAAAGGTGTACAGTTGGTAAATGGTAACATGGATATTGTAACGATGCAACTTAACACCCTTAACCTGGAAGAGGAAGATCCCATAAAAAATGTGGTCTGGCTGGAAAAAGGTGGGCAAGTTTTTGTATTTAGCTTTCCTTTCCACAGATCATATTTTTAGCCTCCCCACTGTACACACCAAAGCCTTTCTACGAACAATTGACAGAAATTGCCCATGTTAATATGGATACATTTAAAAAGTTTATCGCACTTTTGTGGAGTTGACATTGATTAACGTAATTAATATTAGATTAGGCTTCTTACAATTGTTGAGCTCTATTGTTTCTGAGATGTTTTCTCGTAATAAACATTTTTGATCATTATTTGCTCTACGAACGCATTGTCATAAATCTGAGCTATATGTCATGATAATTTTATTCGTTACTGAATGCTATTTCTGCTATAATGTTCTTTTGCAGTTTATGTCAGAATTGTTAATATTGCAAAAACACGTGAAGTTTTTGATTAGGCATTTAAACGTGTTTCCTGAACAGTACTGCACTCTAGACACAAATAGGTGAGCTAAATTACTTTTCCTAGATCATGTATTGATTGTGATCTTGCAGGCTCACGCTTCTGTTTTTCGCCGTATCAGCGCTCGACTTGCTGGGTGAGCTGGACAGCTTGTTAACAGAAGAACGGAGAAGTTCGATAATCGACTGGATATACCGCCTTCAAGTTACATCTGGTAGGTTTATTTTCTTTGTAGAATGCCCGAAAATACTAGGCAAATCATTGCCGTATCCTTCGGTGGAGCAGATTTGCATCTTAGGAAGAGTCGTGCTTAACATCTTTCTCTTCGGTTAATTTTTGTTTGTTTGTTTGTCTTGCCGTTTTATTTTATGCTTCAGGAGTTCTCGTAATTCGTACTATTCATATCTTTTGTGCCTTTTCCTGTTTCGGTGCTCAGTTAAGCCCCGCTTCCTTCGTCTGAATCATCGTCATTTCAGTATCTCTTCATTTTGCTCTCAATGACTTTGTATTGTGAGCCGAAACTACGCGATTTTGGCTTAGCCGACCCCGGATGGCGTGGTTTCGGCGGATTTATATCAGATTTGAAAACGGGCGAGATTCCTCAATATAATCTGGCTGCGTTTTGGAAACGTCCGATTGCTCCCATCGTTACTGGATTTGCCGAGCCTGCTTTGAGAGTGGGGCATGTTGAGGTGAGGAGAAGTCGGAGTTAATGACTTGGTAGTTTCTGTCGATAGTCAAGCTTTGTAAGCCTATACTTGCTATTCATCATCTCTTATCGTGTGACTCTATGTCACTTCCTTTGTTATTTACAGGGAAAACAACGTCTTAAAACTTCTAAAAGTGTATCCTGGAGCTTTTAGAAGGGTTAATCTCCTTTATAAAGCAAATTTTCATTCTAGACGGCCCCTCGTCGACCTCCCGGTAGTGTTCGAGCAGACCTGGATGCTAGAGTTTTTGTGAATATCAACCTTCTGGCAACAACACGCAGGAACGACCAACAGTTGACATTTTCAACTGTATCGGAAGATGCCGGTCGTCACTTGATTAACGAATATATCTCGGAGGTGTTTCATTCATCCATTATTGATCTATGGATGCGTTTTATATGTATGCTTTCTAGGTCCAAGATGGGTTGTTGATGACACATGGAATGTTGCAACATAAGTTCGTCTCCGATAATCCACCGCTGGAGCTGCGATATAGTGACGTCATCGGCAGTCGGCTATGGGTACGATGTAAGAGTCATTTGAATCTGTTCGAGCCAAGTACGGCACAGAAGCAGTGTGTCTTCAGGGTGAATCTTTTCTGGTCTAATTCTTCTCTTTTAGCGACTCGCAATGATCATTTTAGGGACCAGTCCGAAGCTTCGAAGAATGTGAATTACTACCTGGTGACATTGCGCTCTGCGACACGTCTGGAATGCTGTGGAGTGGTGTCGTAGGCAGTCCTCTGTCGAGGACTAAGACTACCGATACTGATATGATAGTAAGTTTTTGTGGCCTTTCAATTGCTTTGATTACCATTCTCTGCTTTTTGGTATAACGTCTCATTTCCTGCTCATCTTTTGATGCTCTTTTCACAGGCTGTTAGTTATTCTGACCATCCTCGAATTGTCTACGTAGCCTCTACATATCAAGTGAAAAGCTTGGACCTTAGACTGAGTCGTGCCAAAGCAGTGGAATTATTTGATGTTCCAGAACTAGCAAGAAAGGTAAGTGTCTGTCCTTTTTTTGCTTAAACTATTCATCATATCATTCTATACCGTTTACGAAAGATTTTATATATTCAGTCTTTCGTTTTATTGTATCGGATCGGATATTGATTCAGTTCGCTTGATCATTGTTTCCAGTTCGTTATTCTTCATAATTTTGAGTGGTACTGGTATACTTATTTTGACACTTTTTAGACTGCCACCGACCACGCTTTCTATGTTGCAAGTGAGTCCAGAGAGCGACCTCACGTCTGTCATCTGAAAGCTATTCCTGGCTACTCACACAACTTTTTCATGATGACAAACCACTCTTCATACCTCTGTGACGATCGCTTTCCGAAGAATACCGTACTCACTTTGCCGCATTCAATTCCTTACGGTGCGCATGTGTTGCGCATGTCTTCGCCTGTGCTGGACTTTCAGGGATCTGGGATGGTCGTGAGTGTTTATCTGCTAGATCACCTACTCACTGGAGTTTGGGTAGCGCGTTTATTCTACCACAACTGCAAGGCCTGGTCGTCGGTTCTTCCAATACACGCTTTGGAAGACTACCAAGACTTCGATAGGCTTGTGAAACCGCTTCCGACGGTACCTCATAGAAAAAATTTTCCCATTCCAACAAACGGTATGGCCGTGGTCCAAGGTTTCAATGATGTAAAGAATAGAGAAGTGGAGCTTCTGCTTAGGTCATTAAATACTGGCGATGTATATTACCAAACTATGCGATATGGGGATATAGAAATAGCTGAGCAGAAAAAATTTTGGAAGGAAAGCCAAAGGAGGGTGTCAGCATCCCGACAAAATGCGAAAGAAACCGAAATGTTTGCTCCTCTACCTCCAGAAAGCCGACAAACCAACTCCCTGTCCATCAGCTTTGGCGATGAAGATTTTAAAAAAATTCTTGCGGAGTCCTCTCCACGGAAATCATGGAATCCATTGCGGAAAAAGGTGTACAAATCTTGCACCCCAATAGAACCATTGCAGCCTAGTAGCGACAAAGCAGTTCTGCCTCAAGTGATAAGTGATGTATGGAAAGAGGCAATCAACTTGAATTGACTATCTAGCTTTAGTTCTAGAATCCAGAGATTTATCTCACTCAGAATCTCACTATTTTTCTCTTGAGATCTGATTTGTCATCGTTATGCTAGTGTTATGTTGTAGTTATCTCGTATGTTGATGAATGTCGTTTGAATAAATATTTTACACTCATTTTCTTCCACTCTTTAGCCAGTTACCGCGATTCAAGTTACGTTTCCGAACACTTTTTCTTTACTTCATTTGCATTATTTGTAGGAAAATGGTGTGGTTTCCGTGGAAGTTTGGGTTTTCCACCAAATGTCGAAGGAGAAGTACATAGTGTAGCCAACTTAGCACAAACTTACAGGTTTGTGTTGATCTGTCACTTTTTTTTGTCTTCTACACATATCTCCTTTTCTCTACTTTGAAAAGCATAGCCACTAGAGTTATTGAAATAATTGCATCAGAGAAATTTTTTGTTTATTAGATAAGAAGGAGTTACAAGAGATGACACAAGACGTACATAAATCTATCAAACTATCAAATAATTGGAAGTTGTTTTTGCATAGTCTCTGAACATTGCTCAAAAGAACAGAGATCTAGTCATGATATTTTCGTGAATCTAACTCTTCCAGTGGTCTGTTATGCTTGGCAATCCTGGGTGACAATCTACAAGGCGTCAATAGGCAGGCCGTCCTCTCCTCTATTAGAGCCTCTCAGAGAGAAGACGGAAGGTAGTTTCCACGTTCGCTAGCTATAATCTTAACTCACATGTTATCTCAGTTTCTGGAGCGAAGGACAAGGGTCTGAAAGCGACATGCGATTTGTATATTGTGCGGTTGCTATCTGCCATATATTGCAAGATTATTCATATATCAATTGGGATTTGTTGAGAAGTTTTATCAGATCTAGTCTGAATTATGACGGCGGAATAGGGCAAGGTCCCGGAGACGAAAGTCATGGTAATGGTTCGATCTTTTCAGACTTAATCGTTTTTGAAGACTTTATATTTTAGGAGGATCAACATTCTGTGCCATTGCTTCTTTATCACTCGCTAATCGTCTTTGGGATGAGTCAGTGCTGACTCGAAAAGAAATTAGTCGATTGGTTAAATGGGCTTTATGGAAACATGATCATGGTTTTCATGGCAGAGCTCATAAGGACGACGATAGTTGCTATGCTTTTTGGATAGGTGCTACTCTAGAGGTGAGATTGTGCTTTTTCTGCTCCTAGTTCTCTGTGAAACTTGATAGTTCTCCTAGCTTTCTAGCAAGCAGATGCTCTGACTCATACGTAGAGCGGCAGTGTCGCGCTTTGCGCATGCCAGCAAAAGGTCTTATTCACCATACTTACTAACATTCTTACTGATGTTTGTGATCTTCTTTATATCTGTCGACCACCCCGTTTCTTACAGATTCTAAACGCTGATCGTCATCTGGATAAAGATAGGCTTCGATCTTTCCTGCTCATTGCTCAACATCAGCCCCTGGGTGGGTTTTGCAAAGTTCCTGATCCTACAGGCTTCCCAGGTCAGTTTTGCAATCATTTTCCCTTCAAAAACGAATAACACTGTTTCATACAAATTTCTCAGCATTATAATCGTTTCAGACTTGCTCCATACTTACTTCTCTTTGGCTGCTTTTTCGTTATTACGGGAACCAGGCTTCTCGCCTATCCATGCTTCATTGAATGTGTCGAGACATGTCTATGAAAAGATATTGAAATGTACCGGTTGATGGTTTATGGGCTGTTATGTTCATATCCTTCTTTCTCTTTGTGTCACCATTTTGTAACTACTATTAATAATTAACTTAGGATTATATAAATCCTGCTTCAACTACGCTACCTGTATACGATGGGTTTTACCAAAGTTTCTCCGCGGGTGTCTCAGTTGTACCATCTGCTTTGTAGTTACTTTTTAGTCTCCGATGATTTATCTTCCCCCTGCCGATCTGGGCCAAGAAGAGGCAATCTTTTGGGTGCTCACGCACTTAAAAGATTTCCAAGAGGTTATTTGATTGTGTACTGAGGCTTAATTCGACGTAAACAATTGTTTCAGAACTCTGATAATCTCTTCAAGCGCATCACATCGCGAATAGATGCAGTGAATAGTTCTTGCGAGGAGTTGCAGTCGAGGTTGGAGGTGGTGAATCGAAAAGTGAAATCCTTACAACAAGTGAGTCAATACTTTTATGTATTCGGTGATGCTGAAGATAACTGTACTATAACCGAAGCTGTGCCCCACATTTTTTCTTAATCTTGTCCGTCATGTTGTGTGTTGACCACTTTCAGGCAAATACTACGGGTGTTTTGACGTGCCTTTCTACTTTTCCGGATTCCAAATATGTGCCTTCTGCTGATCTTCTCATACCTTTCAACACAAGTGAAAGAAAATGTATGTTTGTTCAATCCTTGTATTTTTTGCAACTTTATCTCTTGCTCTACAGCTGTTTTCAAACCGAACGTTCGTTCTACGAGCGTCGTAGATATGAGACGTGAGTTAGAGGATAGAAAGCGGTTTTACCTCCCCAATCAACTGGATCAGCACTCATCTGCCAAAGTTACAGGTTTGTAAATTCTTGAGTCAATTATCAAAACATTTCTTTTACAGAGACTCCAATGCCGAGGAAGGTGGCCACGTTTGCAGACATGTTTTTCTGTGGGACAGATGAACTTACATCTGGTAAGAAAATCAAAAGCTCTAGTACGGAGCGACGAAGGAATGGAACTATTGTAACTACGTCGAGGTATGACCTTATTTTTGGAAGCAGGTGCTCGGATAGCCATGTTTTACTGGGTTTTGCCTTCACTGTGGTGGTCAACTGATGAAATTCATTATTTAGTGCTCCCGAAGACGTAGTGGACACTTCAGTCATCAGTGGGGATTTGCATCGAATCGCAGATCCACTCGAATACATTCCAGAAGCTGGTCCCATTGAAGATTTGGATCTGCCTAATATTCTTCCTGATTTGCCTGGTAATTCTTTCTTTGCGATTTATCAAACCTATCATTATGATCTAGGCATCGCGGAGGATCTTGCTCTGCCAGACTTCGACGACATTCTACCGTCAATCATTCCTGATATTCCTCAAATTATTGCTGAGCCAGAGATCTCAAAAGATGCAGAAACAATCATCAGCCAAGCAAGTAATTGTAAGCGTCTTTACTTAGTTGTCATGTTTTTCTGCTTATATATAAACTTCTTCAGCAACATCAAATACGACTAAATTCGACGAAAGTGAAGCCGGAGGCACAAAGGTAGAGGCCAAGATGACGACTGAGTCGAAACTGGATACACCCCTAGCAGCTCCGAAAGAAGTCCCATTGGCGCCAACAACTACCACAGTTCCTGTGCTTGCACCTGCACCACCTCCACCGCCACCACCTCCTCCTCCACCTCCGTCATTGCTTAGCCCAACGCCTGCACCTACGCAGCCTCCGCCTTTGTTGGCTCAAGATAATGACCGGTGATTTTCCACTTTCTATTTCTGCATAGGTTTCATTTCCTTTTGATCTATCGCTTTTGAAGGGCCGATCTGATGGCTGCGATCCGCGCAGCCGGAGGTGCTGGAAAGGCCAAGCTAAAAAGTGTCGCAAGTCAACGTCGGTCTGTGAAGGTCTGTCCTTTGGCTAATACTATTCTTTGGTACATATCTTCTGGTCTTAGGAAAGCGAGTCACTCAGTTCATCAGCTTTGTCGGAGAAGAGCTCCACAGGCGGCAATAGTCTCATGATGTCTCTGGCAAAAGCTCTGGAAGCTAGAAGAAAAGGTAAGTAGATTTTTTTGGCAGCTCCTAATTATAATAGGAAAGGTGTTTTTTGTTTGTGTAAATTACTGACAATCTGCTAGTCAATATAAGTATGGTGTAAATATCATGCATTCGAGATTTTGTTTAGCCATCTCTGGTATGAATCCCAACCCAGCCTCTGCTGTCCCTGACAGCTCTAAGGGAATTGATGACGGCAAAAACGATATTGACGATGATTGGAAATGAAACGGGTACTCAGATACTGCATTCCGATGATATGTATCCACATTTGTATGTTTTATGTGTAGCTAATAAATATGTACCATAGAAGAGAAGCTATTGTGCATATAGGGTAATCCAACTACATCTCTGAGCTAGTTGTGAGCTAAAATTAAACTATTTTTCTAGCTACAGCGTCTTTTTGCTCTTTGGATGCCAACGCAGCCATGTGTTGAGGATATTCATACACCTAATCCATTACCGGCTCGTGGTAAGCTTGAAAAACTTAATGGTTTCATTCTGAAACTATTTCGGTCTAGGTGTTTACGGATTTTCCCTGTACATATCGTCCTTTTGCTTCTTGATATTATACACACTGTGGGCGGTCATCCCTACTCCTATATTGAATAGACTAGGTAAGCGTACAATTTCTCACATGCATTATGCTCTAGGGCTTAATCAGTTTTCATTATCAATCACCTTTGAGGCATCACATACGTGCCAGCCAAGTATTGGGTCATATTGATCCCGCTGATACTCGTCTCTCTCATCATCCTTTTTGTATCATCTATATTCCTACTGAATATATATCGCTTCAGAGGATACAGAATATTCGAAGAAGTTGAGGTTGGAAGTTTATTTGTGGGTTTTCTTTGTTTATATCATATTGAGGTGGTCGCGAACGATTTTGGCGAACCTATTCCAGTATCTGATATCTCAAGTGCAAAAAAGAGTGAGCGCCGTGCCGATATATAAGCTCTTATTGCCACTTCTATTCAGACTGATTGGACAGAATTTGGTGCAAATAATCATGCGGTCATGCTTAGCATTGAATTGTGTAGTGAAACGTTTGAAGCATGGTGGAAGATCGACTCTCAGCAAAACATTCCCCGCGAATAGTATTAGTCGTGGATCGCAGGTTGTAGCCTTTATCATCAATCTCCTCACATAAATCTTACATATGAATTCAGGTGGAGTTAATACACAAACGATTATCTGCTTATGAACGCACGCAAGCCGCTGCAGAAGCCGCTAAAAAGAGCAATTTCGTTACGAGCTCGCTAGCTGCCGAAAATCTAATAAAGTAAGCTTTATGAGCATAAACAACAATTACAATTCTGCAGTCGTTCAGGACCGATAGCAATTACGGAAAGATCATAGAACGAAGAAATCTCGAAGAGCAGGCAACTCCGAAGCCATCTACTAGCATCGACACTGATTATGAATTACCACTTGCTGCGAAGCCAATTACAGAAAATATCTTGCTCAAACCTACTTTGGAATCTCAACCTTCTGGAAGTGAGCCTTATATAATTCCCGTTTGTTTCTGCTTATTCGTTTTTGCAGGCCAGACAGCTGGTGATAGAGGATATTACGTAGAGGGCAATGAGTACGTTGACGACTACATATTAGGAAGTACTGCAGATTTCGCTTACGACGAAGTAGCGATGTGAGCTTTTGAAATTGTTTCGTACCATTTCAGATTCAGCATAGGAAATTACACTGCGAGGTAATGGTTTATTATCGTTTCTCCCAAAAAATACCTGTACATGGTTACTATCGAAGGGACTGTCCAGAAAAACTTCTTTGTTCCCTCATTTTTGAGCTCGACTTTGTTTTAAGAAGCTTGCAGAAATGTTAAAATGTCTTTCTTTTTGGCTTTAAAAAGTGCGATGAGCGCTGAGTGCGTTTATTGGCTGGTGCCCAGCCTGAAACTGACTGGTGCGTCCAGGTGGGTGATTATCTGTCGAGAAATTTACTTACTCGGTAGTGCTGACCAATAATCAGTTCCATCGCTAATCGCTCTCAAATGGTTGACTGAGAAACCCTTCACTTCCTCTGGGAAGAAGAATTGCTGTTTGACATTTCTGTAAGCTTTAAAGCACATAGATCTAGCATGGGCTGGAAGTTCGGACTCGGCGAAGAGTTGACAGTCTTGCATAGTGCCTTTGACAAAATTTTAGTTTAGGCCATCATATGAGATCTATGGCTCTGAAGACGCCCATGAAATCATTGAGTTCCAGCTTCCTGGGCAGAGTAACGTGGTACGTTTGTGTTTTTAGTACGTGCAATCACTGTACAAAAGATTTTATATAGAGTACACGGCGTGTCCAAAGCGGTGTCGAGGAGGATGAGGAATCCGTGGAACTGGAGCTAGAGGACCAGAGAATGACCAGTAGCAACAAGAAATGCAGCGGATGTGGTGCTCAGATCCAATGTGAGGTATGTTTGTTATCTGCAAACTTTCTTCTTTTGGAAAGTTGAGCGCAAAAGCTGTTCTGACAACCCTTCAAGGGATTTCGTTACGCTCGTTTCCTTATACTGGGACTCTATAATTGAAAAATTCTCAATTCTAAATTCTCCTTTCCATCGATAGTGAGTAGCTGAGCGCATGAGGGGTGTAGATAGCTTGTTCAAATAACTTCTGTGCTCCCGCTTTCTTAACGCTTCTTATTAACCATGGGTATTCTTGCAAAAAATTTAATATGAGATGATGCTACCGTTTTTTCTTCACCTTTATGGTTCATCGATTTTTTTTCAACAGTACCTTTACCAGTGCTTTACCTGGTTTTAGGATAGTGCCTTACCTGGTTTTCTGCCTGTTGAATATATCCAGAAATCGCGGAAGTCCACGTCCGATGCTTTGTGCAGACGGTGTCATCTTCTCAAGCACTACAACTTTTTGGTAAGTAAGTTTTCCTCACTGTCCAAGCCATTCATCTCTTCCATTCAACAACATTTATTTCTGTTCACTTTGTGTGGTATCAAAATCGATCAACTTATTTAGCTTAATGTGAATGTATGCGAAGTGGACTACGCATCCATAATGTCATGTCTTCGCATGAACGAGGAGGCTTTAGTATTGCTGATCTTGGATATCACTGATATTCCTGGGAGTATACATCGACAGCTGCCTCACATAATTGGTCCACGCAAGCCGATGATTGTTGTTGGTATGTGTTTCATTGTTGCTTGAAGAGAGAAAGGAGTATGCTGAAATTTTCAGCCAACAAAGTTGATCTTCTCCCACCAGACGCACGAACTGGTTATCTCAAGCGTTTCAAGATGATAGTAGACGAAGCTATACAAGCAGCCGGCTTCCGAGACCAGTTTACCATATTGCATACAGCTCTAGTTAGCGCCAAGACAGGTTATGGAATTGAAGATCTGATCACTGTATGTATCCAAACATTCCATCCATACTTTTAGTCCATTCCAATTTCATATAGTTCTGTTTAGGAAATCTACTTGAAGTATACTTCTGTCAAGTTGGGTCTGCGCAATGATATCTACCTAATTGGATGCACCAACGCTGGAAAATCGTGGGAAAATCACGCAGCTTTGAGACTATAAGGAGACTAATTTTTTTGTAGTTTTTAGAAGCTTATTCAACACTCTTCTGCAGTCAGACTTGTGTAAGATTCGTGCTGTTGACATCGTCGAGCGGGCAACTACATCTATATGGCCTGGAACTACGGTGGGTCCTTATTGGCAGTATGGTCTGGTAACCTATTAGTCAGCATAATTTCAGCTTTCGCTGCTAAAATTTCCTGTAATGCAGCCATCGCCTTTCCGCTTGGAGCTCCGACGGAGGAGATTACTCAGAAATAAAGCTTGGCTTCAGAAAGAGATGTACAACAGGTAATTCTTGTTTTATCAATTTTCGTATTTTATTGAACGCTGATTTGCAGGAAACTACAGCTGCAGCAGAGTGGTGACCCGAAATATGCGGTGTTGTTTGGAAATGTTGAGAACACATTCAAAGTCAGTACTTGTTTATTCCATCTTTCCGTTCGGTTGTTTTAGAAAAAGCAAAACTTTTTTCTGAAGGAGAGAGATGAGGAGCTACGACCTATAGCTGTCGAAGAGTTGACATCAGATGGCACATACGATAGGAAAACTTCGAAAAGGTATCTTTCAAGAAATGCACCCCGCTTTTCTATTGAGATGTTGATCCTCTAAAAAAGTATCGCCTTACTGTCCGCGTGAATTATCTGAAACTTATTTGTTTTGCCTATTTTTTGACTGTTACATAGATAAGTTTACCCCTAATTTTTGCTCTTTCTTGGTGTCTTTCACGTTCCTATCTCATCTTCCTTTTACAGATGGTCGATGAAAGATCCTGAATTTGAGAAAGGAATGTGGTGCTATGATACGCCAGGAACCATTAACGACCAACAGGTATGCTTTTTTTGCGTGTAAATCATAATAGCAGCTCATAATTGGCCTCGTCGTTTAGGTGCTCAATCTATTCACTTTGGAAGAACTAATACATGTACTGCCGCGGCATCTGCTGCGACCTCGGACTGCCATCGTTCCAGTTGGACACTCATTGTTGATAGGTGGTATAGCACGGATAGATGTGGAGGAGTGCGAAAAGTTTGACAGTGTTTTGGTCAGTCATACCTTTTTGTGTTTATTCTAGAATTCTTAAGAACGTTGTAGCTGACATCTTTCGCTAGTGATGATCTTCCGTTGAATTGCATACGCACAGAGGAAGCCGATTTATTCTTGGAAGAAAATAACAAGAGTGGTTCTCTTGTAGTTCCTAGAGGAGGACCAAGACCAGTTGGTTATCCTAGGCTCGAAAGTCAAGTTTTCACACTGCATGGGAAGAAGGTGCGATTTTATCAGATTTCAATTTTTCTTTCGCATTTTTGGAGTAAATATCGGTATCGCCTCAGGGAGATATCGGAGTCGCTGACATCGTGTTATCTTCGATAGGATGGGTACTGCTATTCTCGTCAAGCCCGCACATCCGTCTGCGAGGCTTTACACCGGGAGGGAAGGGGCTAGCGACGCGCTCACCAATGTTGCCGTATGCAGCATCGCTACGAGGAAAGCGCATGCCTGGAACGAGATTCTATAAGGTGAATTTATACATTGCTCATGGGAAGGAGAGATTGGCAGATTGATAGGCAAAGTTGGGAAGAGCAAGAGCATAGACTATTGTTTCAGGTGGAACCCGTGCAATTTCCTGTCAATGTTCGCCGTATTAGGGCACAAAGGCACAAAAGAAGCTCTAACGACTTTTAGATTGATTACCTTGTTGAATACCATAATTTTGTTACAATTTGTTATGCTTATCGAAGATAAACATGTGATACATATATTATCTGTGGTTTTTGTTGTTGTTTACAATCGCTGGTTACTTTCGCACTACCACCTAATACTGGTATGGTATTGATTTTCCAGTGATGTGAATACTTTATGGAGCTCGATGAACATATGAGGGAGTTACTGGAACGGAATAGTAATTTCGTCAAAGATTTGATACATCGGAATCCATGGCTTCGTCCGGCTGCTTATCTTTTCGGGGCTATATTGTTGCTGATTTGTCTGGGTTTCAGGTAAGTTGAGCTATTGTTTGTGGTTTTGACATTTTTTCTCTTTGTCAATGATGCGGCATATATGAAGAGAGGAAGTGCATTGAATTTTTTTTTGCTATTGCTTGTTTTATTTTGTTGAGCATCACAGGAGTGATTTAGGGCGCTACCAATAGCCTGCTGTCTCTTTTCCACCTTTTTGGGTGTCAGCATAGCTATGTGGATTGCAAATGATTCAAATGGAAGGTTTCTATATGCGCTTGTTCATGTGTGGATCTCAACTAACTCGAAGAAAGTAGAAGTGAAGGAAGTGAGCTCGGATCAGCAGGAAGAACGTAAATCATCTTCCCGTAGAGGTATCGTGTTTCAGGAATCGTTGTTGTCGAGAAATTGGTCTTGTCTCTGATGCATTTTTTCAGAGCTCAAAGTTCCAGTATGTGTAAACGATGCCGCGGAAAGTTTGCTGGATCAACTCATTGACACTTATGTGAACAACTGGTATGAGTCTGGCATTAGCAGGGACCGCGACTTCCTCAACGAAATCAGGTGTGTCTTTTCTTCTGAGCATGCTGTTCGTGTTTTGAAGCTTTTATCATTTGTCTACATGAATATACAAAAGTTATGTGTGAATTTTTCTCAGATGGAGTATACTCAAAATCTTGCAAAAATAGCTCTACATATTTTTTCGAATGCTTTCAAAGCTCTTCAAAAAAACCCCTTTGCGTGACCCTGACAGCGCCCCCTTTTGAAAATTTTTGGATTTTCTCTAGAACATTTTTGCAGCTACACTTGCTTTTTGCAGCTACACCCACATTTTTTGTCAATCCGTATGATCCTTTCTCCAGTTTGCTGTAGACGAGTCAAAGTGCGAATCTTTTACAGTCATTTTTAGGTCTGTAGACGACTCAAAGTGCGAATCTTTTACACTCATTTTAGGTACCAAATACGGTTTGCTTGCTCTCAACTCGCAACGATAGGATTGCAGCTAGATCTGCCAACCATCATCGCAGAAGATGTCGTTCCGATCGCGTCTCTTCACATGCACAGAATTATGAAATTCGAAGATCAATTTGCGGATAAGGTATAGCTGCAAACGTTTTTGATAATTTGAGATCTGTTGCATCTTTCTAGGCTTTTCCACGTTCTCTAATGGAATCAGCTATATGTGAAAGTCTCTCTGATCTGCATTTTTGTCTAGGTAGCAGGCAAAATGAACTGGACTACTTGAGACAGGTGAGCTTTGGTTCTAACTCATTTCTATATATCATATCTTGAAAATTCGTAATAGTGGTAAGGAAGGATCTGCTGGAAAGTACTCCGAGAACCTTTCTCATCTACGACTCATGGTCTCAACTCAAAGAGCAGTTTTCCTAGTTCTGTATTTATTAAGATTTCTAAAAGCCATCCTTTTTGTGCGTTTTGATTTCCGCACCTGTAAATATTGTTAGTAATAATTACAAAAGATATGGTATTCACATTTGTGAGATTTCACTCACAAACGACTATGAAAATAAAAATTTTAGAATTTGATCTGAAGATGTGAAATTCTCTCATGAACTTGAATCGAAATGCTCCCACTGCTTAGCATCTTTATCTGTTACCTTTTGTAGGTCGCTGATTTTCTCGTTACCAAGCTGGTAGATGATACTCATCTTGCTGGAAGAGCACATGACGACGAATGTCCGTCGAATTTTGGCGAGAAAGCTAACATGGTGAGTTAGTACTTGTACAGCCATTTTTGTAATCTGTCCATAAAGACTGCCGGTGTTTAAAGTAGTTGAAATGTGGTATTGTCCTATTAGATAAGCTTTTGCAGTCGGCATGGCCGTCACAATCTGTCAGACATTTCCTGCGTGAACTGGTTGTAAACGCATTGCTTTTACCATGCTTGGATTTGCTGGCTGACCCGGATACTATTAACCATTTGCTTATTATGATATTCGATGCCATGAAAGGAGAAGAAGCACACGATGGAAATGAGAATGAAGTAGGTATTTTTGTAAATGTTGATGATGTAGCGCTAATGATTTGTTGAATCATATCAGAAAAGAGAAGTCACGTTTTTGTCGAATTTCGCCGAAAGTTCCTCTCAAACGGTTCCGGACTCTTTGCTACACCTAAGGCTGAGTGAGGTAACGCCTCAGATTTGAAATCTCTCTCCGATTTGTTAATCATCAGTTTGCAGGTTCTTCGAGATGCACGGCAGTATTCGACTTTTCGTCTTTATCTACAAGATACACACGGACCTGTAAATGAGCTTTGTTTTCTGGCTGAGGCTTCTCGAATCCACGATAGCATGCAGAGAAAGGTAGTGAAAATTGCGCTTGCATTTTTTTTTCACACTGGTCTAAATAAATTCGTAAATTTGCTTGGAATGTCATTTGAGAAGAAGACTTGCTTGTTTATCAGAAATTTTCCTTCCTAAGGCACGTGCCATACTCAATCCACTTGATCTGCCTGATCCACTGCATGCAATTCGCTATTGGTCAATTCAGTGAATTGACCAATAATGTGAGTGGACCAGGTATTGCGCGTGCCTACTACGCATGATCAAAATCGTTGTCTAGTCTTCTAAACCGTATGGTACCGTAACCACGCAAGACCACCTGTGACGCAAATGTCTCGCAAGGTTAAAGGCAGTGCCTCGGCAGAATCATCTTTCAGTTTCTCACCTTTCCGGAGCCTTTTCGCCATGAGGAATCCATATATTGGCTTTTCAGCTCATGACAATGACAAAAACAAGCTTCTCCCGAAAAATTCTAGTTTGCAATCAGTTGAGAATAGTGTAAGTGGGCGGGGTCCGGGACGAGGGAGGTGGGGCGCGAAAGACCTCTGGCGTTCACTGAATGCGGATTTGGAAAGCTGCGAGAAAAGCTCTTTTTCGCCATTTTCATGCGCTGAGAAGCGCAGATATGGATTCTTCATGGCGAGAAGCTTCAAAAAGGTTAAAAACTGGATTACGAATTTCTGCTGGGACGGTGCCTTCAAGGCAGCGTAAGTACTTGGTACCACAGATTCTATGTTCCCTTTTCTTTGTTTTTCTCACTTAAAGCACTTCTGAGGCATAGAACATCCTATTTTTAGATTGATGCTGCTCTTTTCGCAATTTCAGGCTGAATCATCCGGCCAAATTGCTTATGACATATGGCAACTGTTCGGACAGTTCGTACATGACAGTGCTCCTGAACGTATCCAATTTACTCCAGAGATCGTTCAAGAATTCAAGAATGCGGTCGAATGCAACAATTTAGCCCTTTTAGACAAAGTAATTGAGATGGTACGGTTACATTGACTAGAGTTTTCAAACTATTCGTATTTTGTTTCCTGATTCAGTCGTATCAAATGGTTTATCAGCGTATGCAAAATGATCACTTGGTCCCATTTTGTCAGTCGGATGCGTTTCTAGGGTAAGTTCATCATTTCTGTGGAATTCCAAATTCATATATGAATTCTTTTTAGATATCTCTGTGGTAGTCCACCTGTTTCTGTCAATGAACTGATCGATCAGCGCACTATGCCTAGAAAGCCATCTGTTTCAGGAGGGACGTTTTCTTTAGCTCAGTTTAGGTAAGTTTACGGAACGGTGACACCAGAACAAAATTTTTTTTTGCTCCTGAGCGTTTTGTCCAACAGTGCCTTTTATGGTAGGTGAAAACCATCAAAATTCATTCCGTACCAAGCACAATTTTTATCAAATAATTCTAATGTAATTTTTTGTATTTGCCGTGCTTCAGGACAAGACTACGAAAAGCCATAGCCGTAGTATCACTGGATGGCTCTTTTGACAGCGAAGAATCATTGGAGAGTAGTCCAGCTGTAGAAGATGACTTGATCAGCATCTCCAGTGAAAGTGCAAAGGACCACCGAGCTAGTCTAGAGAGAATTGTAAGCCATTTTCTTTAGTTTTGAGCGTTACAAATTATTTCTAATTATTTTGTAGGAGTCGACATCATCTTTACCCTCGAGTTATTCTGCTCAACTAACCATCCCATCCATTGACGTCTCAGTTGCAAGTGACTCGCAGTCCAATTTGTCACCAGCGAGCGCCTACTCGGTTACGGTAAGCACATTTTTTAGATGCCAGGTCGGTTGAATATCTACTTTGTTTAGGATGAAGATGAACTGAGTGCATCGGCATCTGCTTCTGCGCTAGAAGGTGGAGACTCTGAGCCGGCATTGATAATAGACAAAGAGACGCGAAATATCAACTTGTGGAAAGTCAATGTTACAAAAATTACTCCGATGAGGGATAACACGACGGGAAGAACAATTTATGCGTATGTGATTGATGTGGAACGTACAGAAGCGAAAGATAAGGAGACCAAGTCATGGAGCATATTCAGGTAGATCTGTTCAATTTTTTGGAACAGCTGGTATCGAACTTTGGTTTATAATTGGCATTTCAGGCGTTATTCTGAGTTCTATGTACTTGAGATGAAGCTTCTAGAATTTCATGGTGATTCACTGCGATTTACGTTGCTTCCTCCCAGAAAGGTCAGTATGAAAGTTATCAAATTGTTTTTGGTGTTTCTATCTGGTACCTTCTAGCCCTTAATGATAAGAAATCGTGCTTTCTTGGAACAACATCGCCTACTATTTTCTCTGTTCCTGTCATCGCTTTGCAAACAGGTGCCTTTTTCCGCTAGGTTTCCCTTAGACCTCCTGAGAATAGCAGTATCTCTTTTTGCAGAAAATATTGCATCGATCTGATCTCCTTTTTGCATTCCTTACTAGTTCTGAAGAATTTCGCCAGAACTTGTTACTAAGTGATCTTAATCCTTGGAAGGTGAGACTATGTACTGACTTCGCTTCTTGTTTCAAGCTATATGTGTGAAAGTTTAGGTTGTCAAGAAAATGCCGGGTAAGCTGGGCAGAGAAAAGGGTCAACATCTTCGACCTTTTCTCTTGACCGTTCTCGCAAATACACTGTATACCCAAGAAAAAGTGGAATTTGAAGAGAAAGTGCAAGCTTCCGATAATAGGTTTGATTTCCTCCGTTTATCTTACAAACAGTTGCCTCTAATAAATTATCATTTCAGCAGTCTGTCATCTATCAGTATGGCTGGAGACTATTACCACACGACCTTCTATAATCCTCTGTTTGGTAATAATTGTCATGGTTGTCGAGTAGCCGAGGAGAATAGTGGTGTCATGGAGATGTGGACGAAGTAATATTATTGTTATATTTATTTGGCGCTAAAATTACTGATCCTAGTTTTTAGAAGTTTCACGGATGGGATTTTCCTTATTTTCTTCACCATCATGGCTAAGAGCTCCCAACTTGTTCTGGATATCGTGTCTAGCCTGAGGTGAGTTTTTTTAAATATATTAGGAAGGGATCCCCCGTAAAAGTTTGTGACTAGCTCTGAAGATGCTGAATGGTTCCGTTCAGGATTCTTTGTCGTAACACTATCGACAGCTTGATGACACATTTGCTAAGAAAAATGTTTGAAAATGTGCTCAATGATCAAAATATTGCGATGCTTCTTCATTTCATCCAAACCGCTATATTCCTTTCTGATGGTACAATTCCGTCTGATCAGGTAAGTTCTTCTTTAAATCTAAGCACCTTTTCTTTATCCTGATAGCCCCTTATAGGAGAAAAATCTCCGCGAAGAACTAGCAATAAGGCGAGCTTTGGAATTTGCGCAAGAAGAGGTGCGCATCCTCATTCATTTTCTTTTTTTTCTATAGAAGTTACAATACGCTGCACTTTGCAGTTACCATCACCTATACTTCGCATGCTCGATTCAAAAAGTTGGCGTGGAGGGATTAGAAGACTTGTGAACACTTTGCAATACCCTCGACTCAACAAGCATTTGTCCTATCTCTTGTTAGACTTACTAGTCACAAAAGTTTTTCATGAATGTATAGCATAGAGTAATTCTAGTGGAATAGCCAGGGGCGGGAAAATATCATAGATTGTAAAATTATAATAAGCATGAAGTTATTGATCTCATAGCTTTGGCCTTTCAAAAGTGTCTCAAGTTTCAAGTCAGCTTTTCTTGTCTTGAATGTTACCTTTCCACATGAGTATATGTTTAATCGTTTAGTGATTGAACAGAAGGGGGCGAGCGGCATAGTTATATGAGACGCCATTATGACCAGCGCACCAAGGTTTGATCAGGCCTCCGCTCCAAGCGAGCACTTCCCTCAGGGGCGTTACCAGAGCAATTCGGAAGAGTCAAAGCGAATTGGTAACCGCCTGACTCCTGCAAGTGATTGGAAAGGTTGGTGCACATTCAGCAGCTTCTCTAACTGATAGGAAAAGTAGCTTGTAAAAAGTACAGGTGCACAGAGGTTGAATGCACCGCCTTATCCCCTTTTCAAAAAGAGCGTCTAGGCAAAATCTAAGCCACCTCGATTAGTACCTGGCCTGGAAGGGCTACCAGAGAGGATCATGTGCATTAGTCCGGTCCTCCAATGTGGTCTGTGAATGGAGAAAATGGATCTGGAACCCGCGGAAGTGCAATTGAGCCACGCCCACCTATCAAACTCCGCCCACGTAAAGGTCGAATCGCCCATGCCTTCAGGACAGCTTCCCAGATATCAGATTTTACGGACGCTTTGCACATTTCGCACTTCATAGCTGTCAATAGGGCCACGGAAAGGCTCCAGAATGACAAAAACATGAAAGCCTAAAGTAAGGGTGGATGATGCTTTTGATCAATCAGACTAGGCGGCAGATCGAGTTTTCAGACGGCAACGGAGCTTCCCATAGTTTCTTTCCTCTTCCAAAAGTTTTTGGCGTTTTCTGGTTGCCTTTTTAGAGACTGCTAGTTGAGAACTTTGTTTATAAAGCCCACTAGTTTTGTAGTAATACTGTATCCAAGATTAGGAAAAAAAAGAAAACGTTCCAAATTTTATTTTGCATCACGGTTATCGATCGTGGACAATTGTTGCTGCACGATTACCAGCGATTTTGGAGTTAGTGATCTAATAGATAGAAGAATTCTCTGATATCTCATGATGAATTCAATAGTCAGCCGCCTCAACATTCGCCATAACTTGTTTTTGAAAGCTCTTTACATTTTTTCCCACTAGTCAAAAAAATTAATCATTCTTTGTTGGGTTTATAGTAAAAACCGGATGCGAAGTGCTATTTTCGCCATCAGTTGTACATGCATCCTCCTCTTCCAAGTCTGCTGACGATATGGAGAGTGAGCGTTGACCCTCAGGCTAGAAATATGATTTAAATCTTTGGTGTGTTGATTTTGGACAGACTCACTCTTGATAATGCTTTTTCTAGAAATCTGACGCAATCATGGTGTTGAAAGAATCTTGCATCATCCAAAGCCGAACGTCCCCATCTAAAAATTGTTTTCTAATTCCAAGAAAAAACATTTGAGCAAATGTTCTGCGACTTACCGGTCAAGAGAAGTAATATCTACTTTGGCAACGTTTATGAGGAACTTTAGCATAGTGAGATCTCCTTCGGCTGCTGCCACATGCAGCGGAGTACGCTTGTCGTAGTCACATGCTGAGAGATCATATCCTTGCATGTATAGCCTAGAAAAATTTTCTCGGTTTACCTTCTGCAGACACCAAGAACATCGAGTCAATTTTTCATCTGAGACGAAGTGGACGAAATTTTTCCTAATTTTTTTTTTGTCAAAAAAGGCTAATTATGTGGAAATTACAAGAATAATGGTCTGAAGTGTTTTGTTATCACTGTAAAAATTCATCATAAAATGATTTTTTATGATGATTTTTCACACTGCGGGATTGTTAACCTAGGCGGTCTTGGAATGGCTCCATTTGCACTGCGCATTTGTACGTAAAGGTTATTGCTGCATGAAGGCGCAAAACCCAAGAGCGCGAATGCAGTTCTATTAGCAGCAGAACATATGGGGCGCGCGTTTCATAGCTTGACGGCGCGCCGCGCCCGCTCAATTGGTAAAGTCGACTGCACGAAATTGCCCGGGTTGTTGTAGGCTGAACGCACGCGAGCGTGCCTGCAACGCGGCTGGAGTACGGGTGCTATGCTGACTCATGCGCGCGACTGCCAATGTTAGCCCGCAAGAAACACGCGCGCGGGCGTTCAGTCCGGGCGTTTCTGTGCAGCCAATTATATCGCTTCTGCGCCGGCGATAGTTTTGATTACCCAGTTTGGGTTCAGAGATTGCCGCTTCCCGACTCATCTTCTTGCAATTATACAGTTTTTTTTTGACATCGTACTAGTTAGGATAAGCATCCCAGTTGACGGGATTGGTTCAGCTGCTACAGAACTTGGGGGCACTGCTTTATATGAGAGAGCAATAATAACTCAAATTTTGTGTGATGGTCACCAGCCTGATAGTTGCTAACCGTAGCGCGTTGCGAATGAAAAAGGAAAATTTCCTCACCTCCTCAACGCAACCATGTCTTTGGATCGCGCCACATAGAGAGCTGGAGAAGCAGATTCTCGTTCCTTGTCCCTACGCCTTGGGTCCACCTTATGCGATGTGGCGTGCAGTAAGGAATCGTAGTTATGGAAGTTGAATTTTGCTATCAGTTTCTGCAAAAAAGGAGAGAAATTTAAATTGTTGAAAAGTGAAAAAAAATTTGTCGAACTTTGCAAAATGCGACTCCTCTGCAACTGTTGCCAAGCTCATCCAATGGAGGCGAAAATAACGCAATACCCATGACATTTGGTACTACCACGATCATTACTCCTGATACTCCAGACTTTGCTGGAAGGCCAACCTGAGTAAAGAATTCTTAGTAACCCTGTGACGGTGAAAATGGGTGTAGGTGAGAACTTTACCGCAAAAGAAAACTGCCCAGATGCGTCATACATTCCGCAACTGTACATTAACGACAGTACATCCCTGCACGCATTTGGGTTGATGCATTTCTCCTCAGTGATTGGGCAAACTCCTGGAATTCAAATTTTGGTTGCGGTATTGGGACCGACTTCGCCATTTGGGGCCGCCTGCGGAACTACTGGTCCTCAAAGGACATGCAATAACATCGCGATTGGATCAGTTGTCTGCGAAAGCGGCCCAAAATGGGGTTCCTGAGATTCTTGGGATGTCAATTTTATAAATCTTTGGTAAAATGGCTGGTTACCTCCATTTGCAAGCGTTGCGGCCATAACACTTAGAGATTCACAGTTGCCTTCTACTGAGCACAGCTGGAAGTAGAAATCGAGGGCATCCGTTATGGATGTCATCTGAAAATGCAGTTTGTAATGAAGTTCATGGAGCAGCTAATCGCATCAAGATTCATTGGCTCAGTTTGTTACAGACTTTTAGGCTGTATTTCCTTTCCAAAGAAAACATCCGAAAACATTTGTAATTAAGAGAACCTCACCTCTGGTGGAAAACACTTCTTCTCTTTCATGAAATAGGATATCGCGTAGTTCCGATCAGCGGTAGATCTTTCAGACAAAAATCTGCAATGGTAAAGTTGAAAATGACAGAACAATTTTTTACAGACAAGATATTGCATGCTTTCAAACCCGTATGAATAAGACTGAGTCTCTGCTTGTATGTATGTCTGTAAGCATATATGTCTTCTGTACGTAACCTTTGATTCAACTGGCTTGGTGGCTGGAAGGCGGGGCTTTGTGACCTGATTACCCGCTCGCGCCCGCGACGCAGTCTGCGTCTCTCTCGTGCGCGTGCTCTCTGATCATTATCTAGCCTTGATTAGGTCACGAAGCCCCGCCTTCCAGCCGCCGAGCAGTTGAATCAAAGGGTATGTTCCGAATAGGAATTTTTATTTTCAAACCGACCCGGACCGAACTTGGCACACATGTACTTCGGGGCGGGGCGGGTGTCCTAGGCTAATTTTCGTCATCGGTCGATATCGACTTTATCGATTTTTTGCAAAGTTTTACCTACGAGGCTGGGAGTTGGCACGAGGGGTAAGTGAGTACGCTGATTAGGAAAATATTATCGACAGGATCCGGAGCCGGGTTTGCCAGCTAGTTCGTGATAAAGCAATGTGAAATCGGAACTAACGTAGCGTTGTTGAATCCAATGTATTCTCCCCCAGCAATCTTTCGATATTGTGTAATCACCTAAGTATTGAGATTTGAAAGAATATGATGTACATAAGTATTGAACTGAAGGTTAGATAATTGTATTGCATCTTTGAATACTCACATAGTCAAATCGATCCGCCATGTCTTCTGTATTTTTGATGAGAGATGTGATTACGATGGCTCCGGAGTTGACCATAGGGTTATGAGGTTTATCTTTGAACATAGGTTAGTGGATCGCATTTTACACTGCTGATTATCCTTACTTCTACCTCGAGGCAAATCTCATTGAATAGGCGGCCACTTGGTTCTTCTCCCACGTATTTGTGCACATAGTCGGCTCCTAAAAAGTTGACTCAGTGTCGCATTGATTCAAAATCGACTTTAGAGTTAATATGGATGATCTCATATAACTTAGAAGATTTGTTTTGCACGAAATTGATTTGACTACAGACAAGGTCATGATCCTAGGTAGAAGAGCCAACGAGGGAAGTATGTACTTTCAATAACCATGGCCGTTTGAAATGTGATGTACATTAATTAGGCATTTTGAACGCCGATTTCAAATTTGTATTTGGCTTCTGCGAAACGCTCGTCTGAAAGGAATTACGGAAGTCTGCAAATCACGTGTTTTTGGGGCGTTTCATAAGTTCGAGAACGCTGCCATGAAGGCGGTGCAGTGGTATAATGGTTAGCGTGCTGGCTTAAGAGGAGAGAGGTGAATGTTCGAATCCGGTGAACGGCTCACATGCAGGTGTGCCAGAAAACCCTCTCTTTCTAGGTCAAATATGCCGAAAGGTCTGCAGACTGTTTCATGTGCGTATTTGAATCACACTAAAAATACGGGTGGGTTCGCTCTCCACCGAATTCGAACCATTGAGCTCTTCCTCCAATGTGAACGCGCTAACACTACCCCACTGCACCACTGACGGATACCGCATCCTCTTGAACTAAAGGGCAGTGGCTCGGGATGGCCTTCTGGATGCGTTTAAAGCAGAGTTGTGCTTGAAATGTCAAAAAAGTGCTTTTTATGGCGTTCTCCGGCCTTGGAGATTGCTGAGGAGGCCGGAACGGAGATTCCCGCAGCCGAGTCGCGATTGACTGCCTGGGCCAATCAGCCAATTGCCGCCAAAATGAGTGGTGTTACAGTCTCCTGCAGCCAGTCACTGTTTTTGGCATTCTCCGCCCCAGCCTCCTCAGCAATCTCCATGGCCGGAGAACGCCATAAAATGAACTTCTTTGACTTTTCGAGCACAGCTCTGGCCTAAACGCATCCAGAGTGCCCAGGAGGAACAGAAGGCGAACAGCTGCAATTTTTGCGAGCCACTGCCTTTGGTTTCCATAAGTCCTCTTAGAAAAGCCTCATACATAATCGGAATGCAGATGTGAAAACACTGTTCAAAAATGCTTATTCGATATGCATCTCATTTCAAATTACCATGGCCATTGAAAGTACTCCCCTTGTAAGTCAGATTTCGGCACCAGCTGAAACCAGGGAGGTTTTAAAACGAAGCGCCCTTTGATTTTGAAGAGTTTTTACGAGATCCCCTTTAACTTCTTTGACCTCCCCCCGCTCACATAACAAAAAAGAACATAGAGAGGAGTAAGGTAAGCGTCATCAACATCGAATTTGGTATGCTTAGAAGCGCGCTTTGCGATCGTAGCAGATTGCGCCGACAATGAAAATTTTTAGAGGGCTCTAAAAAGCCTGGACAGATTAAAAATCTATTTTTTGTTGTTGAAAGTTTGACGGTGAGGGTACGACATATGTAAAAAAAAGTATGGAAAATTTTGTGAGAAATGACCCGGTTCCAGCTTGCCGAGCTCTAAAACTCTTGGTTACGGGCTCTTGGTTTGGAAAAAAACTGCTTTCATTGCAATACTTGCCATTCAACTTACCCTTATCGCTGAAAATGGCTAAAAAGCGCCTTTTACCTTTATTAATCTGATAATACACTAAACATCAACTTTATAAGAACTTTGACTCTTACCAAGATCTGAAGCTGCTATGGAGTAATTGAATGCCTTCGATACGGATTGCACACAAAAAGGAGTTTTTGCATCACCGAAGGAAGCCTGAATGTACAAAGAAAATCATTCTGGAATAAATCTTCTGTAAAATATATGCGGAATACAGAGCAAGCGCTTTGTGTAGGCCGTCCGCAGTGTGCTCGGACACTGTAGCGGTCATCGGAAATAGTCCATGACTGGAAGAGACGCAGAGGAAAAAAGCAGCGAGAGTGCACGAGGAAAGAAGAGTGACGCGCAGTGCACAACTCTGCGCCTTGCGCGGTCGCCCTATAGAAAACTTAGACATCAAACATCACAGGAGCTAATTATTCTTTTAATGCTAAAAATTTGTCGGTTTCCCGGAAAAATTCGTATAATCCAGGATTTTGATCCGAGGAAAATATCATCGCTACCCTTTGTCCATCGACAGTACAGATCGAAACTCCCCAGAAGTGAGGTGATTGCCGTGCAAGCTGTGGAATATAGGTTGCTACTGAGCCATCGGTAATTTCTGCGCACTAAACAGTATTTTAGACAAACTATGATATGGTATCAATGTTAAGGTATTCTTCTAACTTCTTGGTAAATAATCCTGATTTCGTCGATAAATGTGTGCCAAGATGGAATTACTAGATTATTTCGTAGCGCTTGTGCGATGAGATCGACACTGTACGCTACGCATCTGAAATTTTAAGATTTTCCTGTTCAGAGTTTTCGGGACAAGTAAAACCAACTCTTTGAAATGTTCTCTGCCGAGTTTCCAATGCTTTGGCTCAATTGCCTCATTCATTTTGGCTTCTTCTTGCTTCTCAATTTGCTTTAATCTTCGCATCATTGGCTTGAGTCTTGGATCGTCGACACGGAGCCCGAACGATTTGAGGACCTTGAATAGATTTTAGGTTATTCGTTGAGCTAGATTCGGTGTCGATACCGTAAGTAGTCTCCCAATAGATGCTTCGTTCTTGCCAGGGATCTTGAATAAGTCAAATATTGCATCCTCCTGTCCTCTTGTGGCTTCTTTCTCGTACGGATTGGATAAAGTACGAAGTAAGGACCTCATGGACGACGGTCGCAGCAGATTTCCGCTGAGATTTTCAACTGAAAAATTGCGCATGGCTATAATTTAACAATTCAACGTTCAAGGAGAGCTTACCCGTCTTTTCTGATGGCATGCTTCTCAATTTATGATGTGGATCCATTGCTGAAATTATGAAGAAGCTCTTGAGAGATTTCCCAATATTGGTAGCTGACGTATTTAGAAGAGATGAGAGACTGGAGAGGAAGGATTAGGAGGCGGATGAAAAATTTCTAGTAATTCTAGGAAATGGCGACGGGCTAAAACAAGGAAATAAGTTTATACATGAGCTATAAAATCGTTTGATTTGATCATAGCGTTGAGTAAATAAAATAATTGTTGATTTTTTGAAGGCTCAGTCAAATTTATATCAGACATGATTACCGCCACGTCATCCTCTTTGCAAAATCTCGGGATCACAATTCAAAATGCATGGCTAAGCTATTCCTTTTCATTCGCGGAAAAACTAAAAATCTGTAACACCCTTTTCCCATTATTCTATGAATTTGAAAATAAAATATAGATTTGATTTGCCGAAATACGGTCATCAGATTCAAAGGCCATTTCAAATAGTTACGTAGTTTCGATCGTAGTTGTAAACATGTTTCCAAAAGAGATTCTTGTAGAAAAATAAAATCAAATCAATAAAAAATAAAATAATAAAATCAACAGCACAATTGCACAGACAGTGTGACGAAAATATAGATTTTTGATACTTCCACGCCAAATTTCCATATATTACGCCCCTCTCTGCGTAATCCGCCGGAATCATGGTAGGAAAAATTTCGTATGCGATACAAAACAAATATTGACGTTACTTTATCCATAATTTGATTTTTTTATATCAAAATAAATTCAGGAAACAACTAAAGGAATAAATTATAAAGTTGTAGATAAATTATGATTTGGATTCTGTAAAATTCATACATTCTTTATAGTCGTCTAATTTACTATTATGCATGAAAAGTATCGCATTTCTAAAGATACTGGAGCTCAACTGGCCGTTATTGGATAATGTGCAGTCTCCCAAAAGAATGACAAGCGATTACCATACATAGACGGATCTTATCGACGATTAAGGCTCTTTTATGAGCATTGTAACTAGTTTAGAGTGACACTCAATTAGCAAAGACCTCAGGTGAATTGTATTTCAACATCGGCAACTCGATCTTCAAAAGAAAAAACAGCTGACAAACAGCTGGGTTGCGTTGAAATTTCTACGTCTAACTTTACATCAAAACAATTTTTTCGAAAGTCATCATTGTGAACAACAAATCAAGTTACAATCAACAAATCATTAGCAGTTCTATGAACAGTCAAAAATTCTAGCTAGAGCAACAACGAGAAAGATTTTCTATTATAGTTCAAAAATCGCCAAACGCTCTCTCTTGATAGCCCTACTTTGAGAGACCAGAACTCAACCTTAAATGTGGTAGGATAATACAAATTCTGCTGATGCTGTAGGTGATAATCAACTTTGCAGTTATAACAGCTCAAAAAATCACCCGACCTTTTCACAAAAGATTCTTGCAAAATATAAGAAAAACACTCAGGATCGCCCTCTCTAAAGTGGTAAAAAAATGCACTTTTTGAATTTTCTTACTTTTTTCGTTGCTAAAATAATGGCAAGAGTTTCTTCTTATTCTAATATCAAATATTCTAGGACCGGACTTGCTGTTCGTAATGAAAACCCCGGGACCGCATTGCGGTTATGGCTTTTTTCGCGAGTTTCAAGAACCATAACTATCGGTCAGTATGGGTTTAACATCAAATATAATAGTTCAAAATTTTTAGAAATCTCATCTCGATCAGCATTTTATAGCACAAGTCCCCAATAAACATTACGCATGTTTCCATAAGGAATTGTCATCTACATGTAGAGTTCACAGAAATAGAGCAAAAAGGAAATCTTGCAAACTCGTATTTTATGGTGCGCAACCACGAAATGAAGCTCTCCATGATGAAGAAGTACAGAGAACTAGAAAAGAAGAACTTTTGAATGACTATATTACATGCTCATAAAAAACAATTCTTCCCCATAAGTAGCGTTTTGAAAGGAGGTACAGAAAATGGGGAAAACATTTAAACAACCCACTAGTTTTTGTTTGCGTGCTTTGCGGTTATGAAATTGCACTATAAAGGTCTTGCTATTCTGCAAAAGATAATCTAGCCTCCAGCGTTTCCGAAATGCAGCTAACATCTTGGCAATTCCACTCTAAATTTGGGTTGCGTCCAGAATGTTCCCAGACTATCGACGTGCTAGCGCCGTGCAGGAACGTCGACTGCAAAACAAGGGAGATTATGTGTGGAACGGTGCTGGAACGTGGCTGGCACAGCGCTGACACACGAGCAACTCTAAACGCTCTTATTGGCATTGTTGAGAGTGCCTTAATTGTGTTGTCTTAGCTGCATAACCAAGAGGGTCGGTGGATTTTATATTGCGCAGTATATGACAGCTAACCTGTTATAATTATTCAAGAATAGTTCTACGAGTTACGCGAAATTTTGAATAAGTTTTGGAAGTTTCCTTCCCTCAAAAGTAGTCTGCGATCTTCGTGATCATATCAGTAGTGATTTGATGATTTTATTGTGACATTGGATAATTTTATGAACTTTCGTATGCAATGGCCATAATCTATCGTCAGTCAGAAGCTATGCACTTGAGGATTCATGTGCTTTTCATTTTGATGTAGTATTATTATGAGTAGAAAAGTTTAAGGCGTTTAACATTTCATGGAGAATTCAAGGTCTACCCTAACTATTTTTCAAACTATACGATGGAATTACTGCTTGAATCAGAGCTAACGCTTTTCGAATTCGTTTACACAAAAGTTAGGTTAAGTTAGCAGCAATGGCATAGGCCAAAGGCCAGCAAACAGAGCCAAGAGAGTGCACCTGCATTTTCTCACCATGTTACCGAGCATATCTTTCGTTGTAACCAACTCTTATTTGTTAAGGCTTCTTTAGAGTGTGCCAACGCCGTGCCAGAATCCGTGTGGATGCACGAGTACGATCGATCGGCCTCGCTGGCGCGGCGCTAGCACGACGTCGGCAAGGGCAAAGTTACACGCAACTCTAGCTTGTCCTTGTCTGTCTTAGGAGGTCTAAAGCCTGCACATTTTTCTTAGATCAGAAACATGGCTAATTTTAGGATCTAAACGAGAAACCACTTCGCTGAGCCGCCACTCTGCAGGTATGATAAGCTTCGCATTCTTCGTTTTAGACCTCGGACAGAATTCACGCGATTTGGTTGTCGCGATTCAATCGCTAAGGACAAGTGTTACGAGCTCATTGCATGGCGATCTTCTTGTAATTCGGTTGTGATAGTTTTCCAACACGACTAATCGTGGTTAACTATCACAACCGAAATACAAGAAGATCGGCATAGAACTCGTAACACTTGTCTTTAGCGATTGAATCACTACGATCAGATCGCGTGAACTCTGCCCGAGGCCTTAGGAAATGTCAGTGAGAGTGCTTTTCATAGATTTGATTGCTAAAAACCCTAAATTTTCGAGTTACTACAAGGAACGCTCATGTGAAATACGAATCAGCTACGTTAGTTTCGATCGTGATTGTAGCCATTATTTCGACAAAAGAATTTTCGAAAATTCTGGTTTTCATAAAATTCTATAAATTTTATGAAAACTTAAATCAATCACTGGCCACTTCAAGCTTACCGAATCAATCAGACAGGCATATTTAAGGCAGCAATTACCCTACATACTATTTGTTTTCTTGAGCTCCTGATTTAACAAAAAAAAACCTGAGACTGAAATGGCGTATTTGTCTGATGACATGATTAAAACCTGCGTGGAAACAAATACTTTCATTTTAATGGCAATACCATTTAGATTTCGGTATTTAGAATGTGGTAATGCAGAAATAAGTACTGAAATCTGTACCAGAAAACATGGCGCGGCTTGTACGGAAGACAATAAAATGGATTTTTGATACTTTCACGCCGAATTTGGCATAAATTACTCGTCTCACTTCGCGTAATCCGTCATCGATAGGATGATGTCCTACGCTATACAAAGCAAATTTGACGTTACTTTGTCCATATTTTGACTTTTTAACCTCAAAATAAAACCAGAAAACATCTAATGCGATGATTTTGCGGTTTTAAATAATATGGCTCGGATTCTCAAGAATTGATGCTTGTAAATTCCAAAAATATGGGAGCTAAACTGACCAGTCTGGCTGGTGTGCAGTTCATCAAAAGGATGACAAGTTGGTACCATACATAGACGGATCTTAACGACAATTAAGGCTCGTTTATGAGCATCGTAACCAGTTTAGAGTGACACTCAATTAACAAAGACTACTGACTCAAGTGAACTGTAGTTCAACATCGGCAATTCGATCTTTGAAAAAAAAAACAGCTGACAAAGTACCTTAGACAAAATACATTATGTTTCTATCCTTTGAAGCTATAGAAATGCATTTAATTGGTGTTATCATTCTTTAAAAAATTATCGTAAACCTACAGCTTTTACTGGTATGAGCAGTACTAGTCGTCCTTTTGGCATTTTGGATGTCATGCTGTGTCTAAAGTTACCGTACAGGAATTATGAAATCACGTCAATCGACCAATCGCGCGTCCATGTTGGTCGGCGCCGGAACGTGGCTGGCACAGCGTCGGCTCATGAGGAACTCTGATTGCTGTCTCAACGGCATAGATATCACCACATTTCTCTTCCGCCCTAAGAATACCCCGTTCTTTTGAAAGTGTTCTGTATGGATTATAATAGTGGCCTACTTGTATTATTAAACATAACCAGACTTTTTGTAAAAGTATTTTTGGATGCCTGTTGTCCCCTCCCCTTTCTTCCAAAAAAGTTTGCTATCTAAACATATCAGTAAACAGCAAAACGAATAATTTGTATAGTGAATTGAAACCAATAGAACTTTTGTGTGTACCGAGCTCAACCTATCATTAGTCAAAAGCTGTGCACTGTTTAATTTATAGCCCATTTTTTCTTGAAATAGTATGTTTACGACCTGGAAAGATTCAAAGATGGTCCACTATCATCTCATGTGGAATTAGACTGTCTATTCTTAGCAAATTTTCATACTACACGATCGCAAGAGTTGCTCAACAGGCTATGGTTGCTTGCAAATATTGTTTCAAACCCTTCGACGAAAAGTGTGATCATTTTCTCACTGATAAGAGAAGTGCATAATTCTCTACTGAAATCGCTTCTCACTTGCTTCAGGCTGCGTTCAGAGTTGCCCATGTGCCAACGCCGTGCCGAATTTTATGTGGACGCACTGGTATCAATCCATCGGCCTCGCCGACGTGGCGCTAGCACGATGCTGACACAGGCAACTGTGGACGCAGCCTTTAAACTTCGTTTTGCTTCAGTAGAGGTCTTTAGATCTGCATAAATTAATAACAGTTTCAAATCATGGCCAAGAATCAACCATGATACGACTTAGCTGAGTACTACTCACCCACAGCAAACATGTTGAAACGCTTTGTATCATTCATTCTTCAACTGCTGTCAATTCCTAGTGTGATCTTCTTCCCTCACTTTCATACATTTGAAATTTAAAATATCTTTTGACTACTGGAGGAAGCAAATATTCTCTTTGCTGAGGGGCGGAGTTATTTTTTGAATAAATGTGGCGTAAATTCTGAATGTTGGAAAGTCGAACAAATTTATCAGTCTGCGCAATTTGAAATGAAGAATAATATTCGTATAGTATATGAATTATGATAGGTACTTTTCGCAAGACACAATTTTGCCTATCAATTGACTCAAGGTCATTAATCACAAATAAAAGTATCTCGTTTTTGTTGAATTGACTCATGATCATCTTTCATGCGTGAATCAGGCTAAATTTTCTTCTAAGAAGAAAACGGAGAGCATCAATATTCATTTAGAGTAGCTTCCTATTGAGGGAAGAAGGAGCGACAAAACACTAACAAAGAGGCTGGCTCTCAAAAAATGTTCGAACAAAGAAACGAACGAACACGTCTGCCCATCTCGTTGGAGGTCTTCCTCGAGGACGTTTTGCTTCGCGAGGAATCCACTCCGATGTTCTTAGTGTCCATTTGTCGTCTGTTCTTCTCATAATGTGACCGGCCCATCGATGCTTCGCTTTCGCAACGTAATCCGCTGGGTCACGAAGACGGGACATTTTCCTCATATCCGTACTGCGAAGTCCGACGAGATGTTGTTTGTGTCGGGTCATCTTCAGAAGACTATGCTCTAGCGCTCTGTGGGTGGTCCTTAAAGCTTTTGAAGTGGCTACGGTATCAGCCCAAGTCTCAGCTGCGTAACAGAGCGCCGGGAGAACGTTTGAGTCAGGTGGGCACGAAGCTCCGGGTCCGTCAGTTGGTCAGTGGCTTCCTTCAGAGGTCCGAAGGCGGCCCAGGCTGCTCTTCTTCTCCTGTTAAGTTCTTCCCTCAAGTCGTTCTCCATGTTCATCGAACGTCCGAGATACACGTAAGAAGACGTCTCCATGATAGAGGTGCCTTCCAATTCCATTTCTGCATCTTCGCAAAGGGCGTTCTTCATGAACTGAGTCTTCTTCCGATTGATTCGCAATCCGATCTTCTTCCCTACTTCGTTCAGTTCCTTCAGCATCGTCTCTGCTTCAGTGATACTGCTCGAAAAGAGAACGATGTCGTCCGCAAAACGAAGGTTCGACAGGAATCTCCCATCAACTCGTATGCCTCTCTCGTCCCAGTCCAGTGACTTCACCACCCACTGCAAGGCCGCGCTGAACAGCTTCGGCGAAATTGTGCCGCCTTGTTGGACCCCCTTCCCAATTGGAATAGTCAGGGGGCTATGGAACAACTGCATCATCGTT